GAAGGGAAGGTGCTCCCTGTGTATTCTGAGAAGGGAAGGTGCTCCCTGTGTATTCTGAGAAGGGAAGGTGCTCCCTGTGTATTCTGTGAAGAGAAGATCCTGGCTGGAGCCAGGTAGTGTTCTAGAACTGTTCCTTTGGAGAGAAAGAAGTGTCTGTTGTTGTCATTGTATTGTTTTGTTTTGCCATTTTTTAATTAAGTCAGGGTCTTAGTATGTAGCTTTGTTGTCTTGTAATTCCTTGTAGACCAGAGTCTAGGCTGGCCTTGTACTCAAAGAGATCTACCTGCCTCTGCCTCCTGAGTGCCAGGATTTTTTGTTGTTGCTGCTGTTGTTGTCTAAGACAGGGTCTCCTGTAGCCCAACTAGCTTTGAATTCCTTACTTTCCAGTCTCCACTTCCTAAGTATTCAAATTACAAACACATGACACATGCTTGGCTAATGTAGTATTTTTAAAGAGCCTCTTATTGTCAGTGACCAGATAGCCACAAATCAGTGTTGTATGTGCTGGTAAAGGTGAATGTGTATGGGCTACAGGCATGCCCAGCCCATCGGATGAACAGGTGATTCAGATTTGGACTAGACTTAAACACAATGGGAATGATGGTTTGCTTTGGAAGAGATTTACCCTAACATGGCACTTTCCATATAGACTTGAAAGAAGATGGGATTTAAAATAAAACGAATTTGCATGCCTTTTGAGGCTTACAGGTCACATCTATCTGTGTTTGAGTGATGCCCTGTATATCCTAGATTGAATGGTCCCCTTGGTGGGTAAGCTCCAGGGAAAAGAAGGTGCTAAGATGGGGTTTGTCCACACTTTTGTGAGAACACTAGAAAGCAGAATAAGTAGCCCCCCAATTCTGGTCAGATAAGGCTCCTATTCAGGAACTTGCAAAGGCACGTGCAGAGGCTCTATTTTGTCTCCTTGAGCCCCCTAGTACCCTGCTGTCTATCCCCTGAAGCTACCATGGGAAGTGAGACAGGAGGGTTTGGTGGGAAGCCAGGTAGGCAGGACCTTCTGGAGAAAGTGTCAGTGGCCTAAGTCTGAGCCTTATGTCCCTTTTCTGGTTGTGTCCTTCCTTCCAGAAGAGCACCTCTTTCTGATGAGGAGTCCACGACAGGTGACTGCCAGCACTTTGGATCTCAGGAGTTTTGTGTCAGCAGCAGTTTTTCCAAGGTAAGGAGCTGTGTGTTGTCACATGCTGCCCATCAAAGGGTGAGCTTTCTGGGGTCGTGTGGCTGGCTTGGCCATTCCGAGAATGGGAGCAAGAAGACAAGCTGCTCTAGATGAGATAGAACTCGGTGTGTGTGTGTGCCCTGTCCTTTGCAGTTGGTTGAGTTGCAGAAAGGACCAGCAGTTACTTCTCAGGGGCCGCAGGATACTCGGATCCGCTGTGGGGAGCTTGCTAAGATGGGCATGCTGTTCTTTCATTGCAGGTGGAGCTCACAGCAGTTGGAAGTGGCAGCAATGCCCGGGGGGCAAACCCAGATGGCAGTACAACAGAAAAACTTGGGCACAGGTCAGAAGATCAGCCTGATGATCCCCAGCCAAAAATGGACTATGCTGGGAACGCAGGAGAGGCTGAGGGCCTCCTGGTGCCACTGAACAGCCCAGGAGACGGGCTTAAGCTGCCCACTCCTGATAGCACTGAGGCCGGCCATAGCAGGGCCAATTGCTCTTGGACTCCCCTAAGCACCCAAATGAGCAAACAGGTTGACTGCTCGCCAGCCGGGGTAAAGGCTTTGGACTCTCGGCACAGTGTTGGGGAGAAGAACACTTTCATTTTGGCAACTCTGGGAACTGGAGTCCCTGTGGAGGGAACCCTGCCTCTAGTTACCACTAACTTCAGCCAGCTGCCGGCACCTATCTGCCCTCCTGCCCCTGGGTCGACCTCTGTGACCCCGTCGGTTCCCGATCCATTCCAAGTTCCCCTTTCTGTCCCAGCCCCAGTGCCCCACTCAGGACTAGTTCCAGTCCAAGTTGCCACGTCAGCTTCAGCTCCTTCTCCTCCCCTAGCACCCGTGCCCGCTCTAGCTTCAGCACCGCCCTCGGTGCCTGCTCTCATCTCCGATTCAAACCCTCTCTCGGTGTCAGCCTCTGTCTTGGTGCCTGTACCAGCGTCTGCTCCCCACTCGGTCCCAGTGCCACTCTCGGCTCCTGCTCCTACTCCTCTCACAGTCTCTGTTTCTGCACCTCCCTTGGCCCTAATCCAGGCTCCTGTGCCTCCTTCAGCTCCCACTTTGGTCCTTGCTTCTGTCCCAACTCCGGTCCTAGCTCCCATGCCAGCATCCACGCCTCCAGCAGCTCCTGCCCCTCCGTCTGTGCCGATGCCCACTCCAACCCCATCCTCTGGCCCGCCGTCTACCCCCACCCTTATCCCTGCTTTTGCTCCTGCACCGGTGCCTGCACCCACCCCGGCCCCAATCTTTACTCCAGCCCCCACGCCCATGCCGGCTGCCACACCAGCTGCCATCCCCACCTCAGCACCCATTCCAGCCTCTTTCAGTTTGAGTCGGGTGTGTTTCCCTGCAGCTCAGGCACCAGCTATGCAAAAAGTCCCCCTGTCTTTTCAGCCAGGGACAGTGCTGACCCCTAACCAGCCGCTGGTATACATCCCACCTCCGAGCTGTGGGCAGCCACTCAGTGTGGCTACACTGCCAACCACTCTGGGAGTCTCTTCCACACTCACGCTCCCAGTCCTGCCATCTTACCTACAGGATAGGTGTCTCCCAGGTGTGTTGGCCTCCCCAGAGCTCCGCTCTTACCCATATGCATTTTCAGTGGCCCGGCCTTTGGCTTCAGATTCGAAGTTGGTCTCTTTAGAGGTGAACAGGCTCTCTTGTACTTCCCCATCCAGCAGCACTAACACCCAGCCTCCTCCTGATGGGATCCCTGGACCTATGGCAGATACTTCCCTCACCACTGCTTCTGCCAAGGTGCTTCCAACTTCACAGCCTTTGCTGCCAGCCCCCAGTGGGAGCTCAGTCCCACCACACCCCTCCAAGATGCCAGGCAGCACCGAGCAACAAACAGAAGGGACTTCCGTGACCTTCTCTCCTCTCAAGTCACCTCCCCAGCTCGAGCGAGAGATGGCCTCTCCACCCGAGTGCAGCGAGATGCCTCTTGACCTCTCTTCCAAGTCCAACCGCCAGAAGCTTCCATTGCCGAACCAGCGTAAAACACCTCCCATGCCTGTGTTGACCCCTGTGCACACCAGCAGCAAGGCCCTCCTTTCCACAGTCCTGTCTAGGTCTCAGCGCACAACTCAGGCTGCCGGCAGCAATGTCACTTCCTGCCTGGGCTCCACTTCTTCGCCTTTTGTTATCTTTCCTGAGATGGTGAGGAATGGAGACCCAAGCACCTGGGTCAAAAACTCCACCGCTCTGATCAGCACCATCCCTGGCACATACGTGGGAGTGGCCAACCCAGTGCCTGCATCCCTGCTGTTGAACAAGGACCCGAACCTGGGCCTTAACCGAGATCCTCGCCATCTCCCCAAGCAGGAGCCTATCTCCATCATTGATCAAGGAGAGCCTAAGAGCACTGGTGCCACGTGTGGCAAGAAAGGCAGCCAGGCTGGTGCCGAGGGACAGCAAAGCACAGTCAAATCCCGTTATACCCCAGCCCGCATTGCCCCTGGGCTGCCAGGGTGCCAAACCAAGGAACTGTCTTTATGGAAACCTACAGGGCTGACAAATATGTACCCACGGTGTTCCATCAATGGGAAAGCCACTACTAGCACCCAGGTCCTGCCTGTCGGCTGGTCACCATACCACCAAGCATCTCTGCTTTCTATTGGCATTTCCAGTGCCGGGCAACTAACCCCCAGTCCGGGGGTGCCTATCAGGCCCACCAGCATTGTTTCTGAGTTTTCTGGTGTGTCATCTCTTGGCTCCAATGAAGCTGTTCATGGACTTCCTGAGGGGCAGCCACGGCCTGGGGGCCCCTTTGCTCCAGAACAGGATGCTGTCACAAAGAACAAAACTTGCCGAATTGCTGCCAAGCCTTATGAAGAACAAGTCAATCCTGTCCTCTTGACTCTCAGCCCTCAGACAGGGACCCTGGCGCTGTCTGTTCAGCCTAGCAGTGGGGACATTGGAGTGAATCAAGGACCTGAAGAATCTGAGAGCCGCCTCTGCTCTGATAGTACTCCTAAGATGGAAGGCCCCCAGGCAGCCTGTGGCCTAAAGCTGGCAGGAGACACAAAGCCTAAAAACCAAGTGCTGGCTGCCTATATGTCCCACGAGCTGGTCTTGGCCGCCCCCCAGAACTTGTGCAAGATGCCTGAGCTGCCTTTGCTACCTCATGACAGCCACTCTAAGGAACTCATTTTAGATGTGGTTCCAAGCAGCAAGAGGGGCCCCAGCACAGACCTTTCGCAGCTTGGAAGTCAGGTGGATCTGGGGCGGGTAAAAATGGAAAAAGTGGATGGTGATGTGGTCTTCAATTTATCCAACTGCTTCCGGGCTGATGGTCTCCCGGCAGTTCCTCAGAGGGGCCTGGCTGAAGCTCGTGGGAAAGCCGGGCAAGCCCGAGTGAAACGGGAAAGCGTTGGGGTCTTTACTTGCAAGAACAGTTGGCAACCAGATGAAGACACAGACTCTCTGCCACCCAAAAAGTTGAAGTGTAACAAAGACAAGGAAATTGAGGAAGAGCCACAGCAGCAGCAGCAACAGCAGCAGCAGCAGCAGCAGCAGCAACAGCAGCCACAGCAGCTACAGCAGCTGCAGCAGCCGCTGCAACAGCCACAGCCGCAGCACCAGCAGCAGCAGCAGCAGCCACCGCTGCCGCCGCCTCCGCTGCTGCCACAGCCACATGATAAGCCTATGGTCCGGAATTCCCTGGGATCCAAGGTGGGTGCCAGTGTATGGCTGAGAACTTCTGATGGTCTGCTTCACTTGTGGGTCTCTGCTGCGTTTGACCCCTCCCTCCCCACTCCTAGACAATGTTCTTGAGCTGTGTGAGAACAGAGCTGATGAATGGAAGGCTTTCCCCTTTTAAATCATGGTCTCTGTATATATTTTTACCTGGAAAGGGCCTAGCTCATTCCATGGGATGTAGGAAATGATTTCATCCTTGGGGCCAGGGAAGCCATTGTCCTAGATAAAGTCGGAAAGCAGAAGAAGGTATTGATGAAGGAAATCACTTAATCACGAGCTTTTCCCTGAGTAACAATTCTTCCTGGTCCTTTAAAGATGATGGACCACTGGCCTTGGCAGTTTGGGGCCCAGGGAAGGAAGGAACTTTTTGATAGCATCATTTTGGCTCCACTTCTTCCTAGTTCTGTGACATTGATTAAGTTTGCCACTTAATCTCTCTCAAACAAACTCAGTTCCTTCATCCCTGCAATGAGACAAATAATAGTACTTATTCAGAGGGTTGTTGGAAAGATCAAATGAGATGTTGATAGGAAATATCCAGAACAGGCAAAGTGATAAGAGGGAAAGTAGCCTGATAGTTGCCTAGGGCTAGGAGATTTGTTGAGTAACCAGTTAATGGGAGTAGGGTTTCCATTCAGGGTGAGGAGAAAGTTCCTGTAGTGGGCCAGTGGTGATCGTTACACAATTCTGTGTTTATACCCAAAACAATTGCATTGTACATGTAAGTGAATTGTACAGCATAGCTCAGTAAAGCTGTTACAATTAATGAGATGGTGTATGCGTGCTTAAAATAGTACTTGGCACATAATTAAGCACTCAGTTGATGTCAGTGGCTGCTTTTGTTTTTAGTATCACAAATAGAATGCCTCCTGCCCTCATGGCGCTTATGTCTTACCATGTTGACTTAATGACAGGTAGGCATAGCCCTTCCTCTAGGAGATGACTGGTTCAGTAGGCCAATTGAGAAATGAGGGGAACAGAGAATAAAGTTACAGGAGAAGGAGAAGGCGACCAGCACTTCCAGTTTTTTTCCTTTGGAAACCAAATAATCCAGGTGTTTTGTTAGGTCCCATTTTGTTGAGAAACATGTGATGAATAACTAAGCTAAGCTGGGGCATTAATTCAAAACAGCCCACTGCTGGAGGTGGCCAGGAGGCAGACTAGGCTCCTGTTACTTGCTTGAATTATGTTTCTTTCAAAATTTTTATTACATTTATATTAATTTTCTGTGCTCATGTGCGTATATGTGTGGTACATGCATGCTACAGCATCTGTGTGGAGGTCAGTGGACAATTTCCACAGTTCTCTTTCTACTGTGTGGGCACCAAGGATCGAACTCAGATCATTGTATGCAGCAGTAAGCACCTTTACCTGATAATGCATCTTGCCTGCCAAAGAATTATGTTTCATTTGTTGCTACCTGAACTTTATTCTTGTCTTTTGAAATGTATTTCAAAACGCCATTAACCTGAACACTGATCTTGATTTCTCCATCCTCCCAACTTCTCGTGTAGTTGGAGTGCATCATATATTTTTACTTTCACTGCTGCCCTGGCAGAAGATACAAACAGAAATCTCTTCTAGATGTTCTGTTCTGTCTACCTTAGGAAGTAAAAGTTAATGATCTCTACTCAAAAGAGGCAGCTAAAAACAATATTTAGAAGTAAATATGACATGTTCAAATTTTATGTGCATTTAGCTTTATTTCCCTTGGCTTAAAATAGTTGATCTTTGGATGTACTTGAAGGTCACATTTTAAGTAATCATCCTCATCTTTCTCTTTTCTCCCTGGTTCTTTGATTCCTAATACTTTGGTTCATAGGAATAGCAGTAACTTGAGTTTCATTCAGCTTAGTCCTCTGCTGAGTAATGAGTAATGACTCCCTGTGCCTGGAGAATTGAAGGTCCTTTCCCCTCAAATATCCCATCAGTAAGATAGCTGCCATCCTGTTTGCTGGAACTAGAATTTGATAACCATACTGGAAGGTGATATAGATGTGATTATGGGAAAACGTGTTAGTCTTCATCCCAGTGACTAAGTGTCTGAGAAAATAATGAGAGAAGAATAGTTTGTTTTGGTTCACGGATTCAGAGATTTCAGTCCCTCATAGTGGGAAGAGTATAGTGGAGTAGAACAGCAGCCCATGGCAACCAAAAGAGAAGAAAGGAGGGAGGGAGGGAGAGAGAGAGAGAATGAGGATATGAATGAATGTATGTCCGTAGTACTGGGCTCCCATTTTCCCATTTTGTGTTTGGGTGTGCTCATTGTGGGTATGTATACATGCAGGTACCTGTGCAGGCCCAAGGTCAGCCTTGGGTGTGATTCCTCACTAGCTGTCCACTTTGTGTTTTGAGACAGCGTCTTTCTCTGGAACCAGGAGCTCACCAATTATACTAGACTCATTGAGGGATCCACCTACCTCTGCCTCCCTAGTGCTGGGATTAAACGCACACACTACTACACTTAACTATTTTTCTGGTGATGAAACTCAGGTCCTCGTGCTCTTGTAGCAAGTACTTGACCTTCTGAACTGCCTTCCCAGCCCATCACTTTTCCCTTTTCTATCTGGGTCCTTAGCCTATGATATGATGCCCCCTACCTTTAAGGCAGGTCTCTTCTATCCTTAGTTAATTCTCTCTGGAAAAAAAATAGATGTACCCAGAGTTATATAGCAGTTTGTCAATCCAGCCAAGTTGAGAAATCAAGATTTACCACCATATAACTTCAAGTAGGTTTTTTTTTTTTTTTTTTGAGATGGGGTTTCTCTGTATAATCCTGGCTGTCCTGAACTGGCTCTGTAGACTAGGCTGGCCTCGAACTCAGAAATCTACCTGCCTCTACCTCCTGAGTTCTGGGATTAAAGACACACCCCACCATGCCCAGCTGACTTTGAGTATATTTAACTTTTTCTGTTGTCTTAAAACTTAATTTCACATTCCCTAGCTCTACAGTCCTAGAAACGTCTATCTTATCCCATTTCTTATTTAGTGTCATGGAGGGACCTCAAAGCTTGTGGAAATCTGTGTCTTTGGGATGGAGTTCTATAGTGTGTAAGCTGATAACCCAGCAGCAGGTGAGAATGGAACTGAGCAGAAACAGTTGATGAAAAGGCAGCAAATAGGGAAGGAGATTCTTGAAAGCTGATGAGAAGAGGCCCAGCTTTGAGGGCCAGGAGTCCCAGCTCTATCTTTCTTACTGCAGGTGTAAATGAGCTACCTTGCAGGGTGGCCTGGTAAGTGGCATCCCTTGAGTTAGTGTGGATGCTAGACTGTGTGGCCCAGGAAAAGTCAATTGACCACTTGTCTTTAGAGTCTCAGTTTCTTCATCTGTTCATTGAGGTAGTTGTTATGATAAAGCAAATGGTAGCATTCCAAGTCAACTTCGCGAGTCAACTCCAGCTGGTGTTCCGCCTGGAGCACTGGCAGGGCAGTGGGGACTCCCGTGGAGATGGCTTGCGCAGCTGGAGATGGCTTGCGCAGCTGCGCGGTCCCTGGCTGACCAGGACAGGTTTATTTGTATCTACCCCGCTTACTTAAATCATAAGAAGACCATAGCGGAGGGGAGGCGGATTCCCATAAGTAAGGCTGTAGAAAACCCTACTGCTACTGAGATTCAGGACGTATGCTCAGCAGTTGGACTGAATGCATTTCTGGAGAAAAACAAAATGAACTCCAGAGAATGGAACCATGATGTTCAGTACAGAGGCAGAGTCCAGGTACAGCTCAAACAGGAAGATGGCAGCCTCTGTCTTGTACAGTTCCCATCACGGAAGTCAATGATGCTGTATGTAGCAGAAATGATACCCAAGCTAAAAACAAGAACACAAAAAACAGACGGTGCTGACCCAAGTCTTCAGCAAGGAGAGGGGTGTAAAAAAGGGAAAGGAAAGAAGAAATGATGTGGTGTGAACATGAAGCACGCAGTCCTGCTGTGAGAGACCTGGGTATCTTTGTGTCGGAGGGAGCAGCTTTCTGTGTCTGTCATTTAACTGAACTGTGAACAGTGTGTCTCCCATCTTCATCAGCAGTTAACAGTGAGATAAGTTTACATCCAAAGTCTGCATCCAGCTTTTATACTGTGAAAAGGAAAGGGTGTGTGTGTGGAAGAAAGAAGACTATTTTTAATAGATAATGACTGTCCCGTAAGTTACTTGAAATCCTGTATCTGTTTGTCCTCTATGTAAACACATATTTCAGGTAAATAAGTTGAATAAAATGTGAAATACAAATGTGAATGGTATAGCAGGCCTGGCCCTGTCCATTGTGTTCATAGGGAGATGGGAATCGCACCTCCTGGGTAATGTTCCTCTCCTTGCTGTAGTTGAATCCATTTTCTGGCATTAACTGACACATGAGAAAAGTTTTTCTTGACTATTCTCAGAATTATTTTCAATTGACAGTAACACCATTCACAGTGTAAACCATGTAGCTATCCAACTTACAGAAGAGACATTTTTGTTTAATGCTTATCTTTTAACTTGTGTATGGGTATGCACAGTATGGGGCCTGACTTTGGACCTTATAAAACAACTTTGGATGTGTGTTCAGGGGCCACGAATACAGATTCTGTAGATAACTTTAAAGTTATGTGGATGCCTGAAGGGACTAGCAAGGGCATTTGACTCAGTCCAAGAGAGCCTTTATAGCCCACTGTGTCCTATAATACCATGACACACACACTGCCAGTCCTAACTCTGGGAAGTTCATATCCATGTGTGAGCAATAGGCACATAACTTGACCTTGGAAGAGGATTCTTTTTTTTTTTTTTTTTTTTTTTTTTTTTTTTTTTCGAGACAGGGTTTCTCTGCGTAGCTTTGCGCCTTTCCTGGAGCTCACTTGGTAGCCCAGGCTGGCCTCGAACTCACAGAGATCCGCCTGGCTCTGCCTCCTGAGTGCTGGGATTAAAGACGTGCACCACCACTGCCCGGCTGGAAGAGGATTCTTAAGAAGCAAAACTGACCTCAGATCTGACTCCTTCTACCTTTTTACAGTGCCGGAAGCTGCCTGGAGACCCCCAGGAACCCACCAAGAAAAACCCCAGAGTGGCTTCAGATTCAGGAAAAGAGCACAATGGAGTCAGGGGAAAGCACAAGCACCGGAAGCCAGCAAAGCCAGAGTCCCAGCCTCCAGGAAAACGAGCTGATGGCCATGAGGAAGGTAGGCCCCAAAGGCTATGCACGACCTTGTAGCCTGAGCGCCAGAGGGATCCAGTTGAATTTTGGTGGGGAGAGAGTAGCTGAGAGATTGAGTAGAAAAATGGATCCTTCCATGCTGTGGAATAGAGCTAGAATTGGAACCTCTGAAGTCAACAGCCAGGGAGGATGGATGCATTCTGACCTAATGTGTTAGAGTACCACACATTCTGAAGTCTTAACATTGAATAAGGTGGCTTGCTAACAGATAGATGGCAGTCCTACAATAGAGTCATTAACCCATTTCCACGAGATAGGATTAAGGCTCAAAGAAGAAGCAGCTGTAAGAATACTTAGACAGCCGGGGCAGTGGTGGCGCATGCCTTTAATCCCAGTGCTGGGGAGGCAGAGGCAGGCAGAGGCAAGCGGATCTCTGTGAGTTCGAGGCCAGCCTGGTCTACAGAGTGAGATCCAGGACAGACACCAAAACTACACAGAGAAACCCTGTCTTGAAAAAAGAAAAGAAAAAAAAGAAAGAAAGAAAGAATACTTAGACAAAACCAGCAGAATTGGGATTCATTACACTGTTTTCTCTACCTTTTTTATATTGGAAAATTCCCATTGTAAAAAGATCAAAACCAATAGCTGACTAGCAGCTAGTTTGCTAGAAAGATTTACAGATGTCTCAAACCCTTTTTATCAGTTAAGAATGTTTGGAGCCAGGCGGTGGTGGCGCACGCCTTTAATCCCAGCACTCGGGAGGCAGAGACAGGCGGATATCTTTGAGTTCGAGGCCAGCCTGGGCTACAGAGTGAGTTCCAGGAAAGGCGCAAAGCTACACAGAGAAACCCTGTCTTGAAAAAACAACAACAACAAAAAAGAATGTTTGGGTTGGGTATGGGGTATATTTGACCTGTATACTCTGTTGTAGGTGACCCAGGCATTCCTGGCTACAGTAGTCCATGTTCATGATCTTGCTCATTGGACATGACCTAACTCTTCTACTTTGCTCTTGTATACCTGTTTCCATTTGTCCACCTCCTCCTGCCTTACCTTTCTAAGGTCCATTGAGGTTGCACTTGTATGGAATAGGCTACAGCTCAGTTAGAATCTAACAAACATACAACAATCTTTGAGTTATGTGGGCAGATATTCTACTTTGGGGCATGCTGTTGAATTGATTGGGTGCATTGCCTTTATTGATGCCAGTAAAAATGGCCCATCCCCAGCTTTCAAAACCACCATTCCCAAAGAGATGGGTAGTGGTGGTAGCATAAGGAGAGTCGGCTGGGGTAAACCAGGGTAGCTGCAGGGTCAGCGCAAACCTTTTGGCTTTCTCATTGGAACATCGCATGTGGGCTTTCTGGTTTATAGATTTCTAATTGTGATATTCCTGCCTTCTGCCCCCAAACCACACATCACTCCAGGTTCCTTGGAAAAGAAAGCGAAGAGCAGTTTCCGTGACTTCATCCCTGTGGTTCTGAGCACTCGGACACGCAGTCAGTCTGGTGAGTAAGACCAAGAGTAAAAGCTTGCCTTGGCTTCTTTGAAAAGGTAGACAATGGGCTTGATTTTGCCATTGGTGCAAGTAGACAGTTGGCATTTTGCTTCCCTGTGCTAAAATGAAAGTCTCCTTGCAGGGACAAGAGAGTCCTGGGTAGGGGCAGAGGGATCACCTACACTTTTAAGTGGTTTGCTTAGCTATGTTAGATTAGGGATTTGACATTAACTCCTGCTTAGAGCCAGTGATGGAAAGAGCAAAGGCCCCTGCCACTCAGGAAATGTTGATAATCCCTGTCACATAGGGTGATGGGATTAAAGCCTAAAGGTTGAATGTCTTCACTTGAGATGGGCCCCCATGATCATGAGATGCATCTGCAGCTCCTTTGCTGATATGGCAGAGAAGCTATGAGATCTTCCCTACAGAGGAATAGGAGGAAGTGGCTCCTACCCCAACTAAGAGGAGAAAGGTGCCATTGAGTGCTCTGGGCAGGCACAATCACCTTTGGTCCACTGACCTTGTCTAGGGTCTAAAGAAGATGATCGTTTCCAGCTTGTGTTCTTTTCTGCTGGCTCTCTGTTGGTACACAGGACAGAGATGGTTGCCTGCACTCACTCAGATTTCCATGCAAATTGGAAGAATGGAGAAGCATGGCCCAATGAAAAGTCAATGATCTTACGTCCTGTTAAGTGCCACCTCAGCACATGGCGAGCTCTGTGGTAATTGGGGCTTATAATGATGGCCTGGAGGCCTCACAAAGTCCTGAAGTGTCCTCTGAATCATCAAAGAGCGATTACATTATGGCCAGTCCCATTTTTGTGTTAAACACATTGTGCTGTATTTGATTCTTTGGAAATTGGTGATTTCTGTGTGATCTCTATGGTGATTCTGTATTAACTATAATATCAGATTAACTAGAACACTCTGTTCCCTGCCTGGTCCATATAATGCAAAGTTTAGTGGGTTAGTTGCTGTCTTTAAGCAGTCTGACCAACTTGAAGCTTTGGTCAAGGGCTGCTTTTTCCTTCCAACCATTTCTTTCTTTTGCTGACCTCACTGGGGGTCTAGGGATTGTTGAGTTAACATGGTAGTGTTGCTTCTAAGAAAGCTGTTAGATCTCCTGTAGTGTAAAACCAGGCCAATTTAGAATTGTGCTTTTATTGTTAGCAGCGTTAAGGGTAAGTGAGGAGAGAGAAAATAGCCTCTTGGCAAGGTGGCCCAGGAGTGTAGGAAAGATGCTGTTTGTCCTGGGGCGATCAGGAGTAGAGAAGGTATGCTTTCCCAGCAGCAAGGAACAGCTGCAGTGGATGGGCAGATGGACGCGAAAGAAAACTCCACCCTTGACCTTCTGGCTACTCTGTAGGAGGTGGGATCAGTTTAATGGAAGTGGCCTGCTGTGTTCTACTGGGACATGCCTGAGTCAAGCTATGTCATAGGAAAGGGACTCCTTGCTTCTATGTTAGAGACACTCTTTTGTGATGATTCTGCTTGGCCAGGGTAGCTCTGTTGGCCATACTGGTGGAACCACAGAGTTATGGGGCCTAAGTTGTAATACCAGACTTCCTACCTCCTTGCCTTCAGCTCAGATGTCTTTACTGAACAGCAGAGAACTGTGGCTCTCTTCTGCCCTTTATGCTGTGTTTAGCTCCTGGTAAACACTGAGCAAGAGTTTGTGAAATGAATTCAAGTAACACTGTGCCATGGATGAGTAAGGGATGATTTTTAGTACTTCATAATTGTGTGGTATTTCGGACTCTATAAAGTAAGTACTTAAGACTGAAAGACTTCAGTCCTGGAGGTAAATGTACCAGTAATAAGTGACAGAGCATGAACTTGAACTCGGTTCTATGAATTCCTCCCCCAGGACAGTTGTGTCGATACCATATTTAATCCCCTGAAGAAGCACCTGAAAGTCTTCTGTATTTCTCATCCATAGGAAGCATCTGCAGCTCTTTTGCTGGTATGGCAGACAGTGACATGGGAAGCCAGGAGGTCTTCCCTACAGAGGAAGAGGAGGACGTGGCTCCCACCCCCACTAAGAGGAGAAAGGTGAGAAAGACCCAAAGGGACACCCAGTACCGCAGCCATCATGCCCAGGACAAGACCCTGCTGAGCCAAGGTCGCAGACATCTGTGGCGAGCCCGAGAGATGCCCTGGAGGACAGAGGCTGCCCGGCAAATGTGGGACACCAATGAAGAGGAGGAGGAAGAAGAAGAGGAGGAGGAGGAGGGCCTGGTGAAGAGAAAGAAACGGAGACGACAGAAGAGCCGAAAATACCAGACTGGGGAGTACTTGACAGAACAAGAAGAAGAGCAGCGGCGGAAAGGGAGAGCAGGTAAGGTTGGCCATGGGGCTGCTAGTCCTGTTTCGACGTCAGCTGGGAATCTTAGGCCCAGTGGCGTTCATACCCCTCTTCACCAGTTGATGGACTTAGGACTGACAGGAACTTGGTACTACGGTCTTCACCTGTCACAGGAGCTCACTCAGATCCACCTTGAGTATGTGGCTTTGAATCTGGAAGGAAGGATTTCAGACTAGCCTACAGGTAAGCTGAGGACATAGAGACCCTTGCCTTCTGGTTTCTTATAGACATCTGAACCTGTGGTCCATGCCATGGTGACATTCTTGGCATGGGCCTTTGTCATACTAGGGAGTTCTGGTTAGCTTGACAGAGTCAAGTCTTGGAGGTTCTCCCTTTTGGAATCTTTGGTTTAAAAAGAAAGAGGAACCAGGTGTGGTGCCTGTCATCCAGGTGCTCTGGAGGTTGAGGTAAGAGGACAATGAGTTTGAAGCCACCCCGGGCTGCTGCATAGTGAGATCCCGTCTCAAAACAAATAAGGAGGGCATTGGCTGCCATAAACTAAAGTGAAATGTAGTTCTCTAAAGGCAACAGAAAACCTTGAAATAGGTAAAACCTGATTTCTTAGGAAAAGCCATAAGGAGTTTTTTATAGAGTCATAGTAAAGTTTTGAGGTGACATAGGTATTTGTTGGTCCTAAGCTGTGAAAGCAGGCAGTTCAGAAAGAAAGCCTTCTGTGGCCATGTCAAATGCTTTAAATATGATCATAGAGGGATAGACAAGAGGTTCACACCAGTATCCTTCAGTAAGTACAATTCAGGCCTGTTCCCATAGTGGGTTTCTAATTGAACAAAAAGCCCATCTCCATAGGAACATGTTTGTCTTTCCTTATTCTCTGACCGCCCTCTTGAAGCAACAGTCAATTGTCTCTTATAGTATATTCACTCTGAGCTGCTGATAAATATGTATAGTCCCCTTATTAGCTAAACCAAAGCAGCTCACATTGAGTAGGCAGTAGATCCTGGGTATACTATAATGCAAAGAAGGCTTAACCTCATTTCTGACTCATTTAAGTGGAGATATATATGATACCTATCCCTACACTTGAGGGTAATTGAGCTCATTTTCATTGACTATCTGAACAAGTGGGGCAATTTGTCCCTTCTTTTGCCAGGACCATAATGGATTGGTCATGAATGAGTTGTCAAACCATTGGCCTCTGCCTCTTGTTAGGAAGCTTTTGTCCCAGTCCTCTCTAATGAAGGCTCCTTTCCTAGCTTGGAAGCTTGGAAGCTTCTCATAGAACTACCAGCTCTTTCTTTTTATTTATTTATTTATTCTTTCTTTCTTTCTTTTTTTTTTGTGTGTGGGGTCTCTATTATGTAACCCTGGCTGTCCTGAAAATCACTATGTAGACCAGGCTACCCTCAAACTCACAGAGATCTGCTTGCTTCTGCCTCCCAAGTGCTAGGATTAACAGCATGTGCCACCAGCTTGAGTTATCAGGTCTTTCAATCTGAAGGACCTCTTTGGAGTTTCCTGGTCCCATTTGCTACACAGTACACACAGAGAGAGAAAAGTTGCCACAGCATTGTCATAGGGACTTATCTAGCCTTTGCTAGGACATTTACAGTAAGTATGGAGAACACCAGTGATGAAGGTATCTTGTTTAGAGGCAGCCCAGACTGTTGAAAAGTAGATCATTCTCCTTCTAAGGTATGCCTGGGAGCTTTGCATTGAAGCCACTGGTGTTGGCGTATCTCTTCATGCAGAAATTTCTTTTTTAAATATATTTTTCTTAGTTTTTTTGGAGATTTTCGTTTGTTTATGAGTGCTTTCCTTGTATGCACGTCTGTGTACCACATTCGTGCAGTACCTGAGGAGACCAGACTAGGACATTGGATCCTCTGTAACTGGAATTATAGATAGTTGTGAACTCACGTGGATGCTAGGAATCAAACCTGTGTCCTCTGGAAGAGCATCTAGTGCTCTTAACCACTGAACCATCTCTCCAACCCATGTGGTAATTTCATAACAAACATTTCTCTCCTCAGAAAGCTCTAGTCTCCCTTACCTACTTACTATCTGGCTTTCAGGTCAGTGTCAGAGAAGTTGGAAATGGACAAACTAGGCAGATCACCCTACTTCTATCTAACTCTTATAACCTCTCCTTTCATCCTGTGCTTGGCTGTCTGCCTTTTTATTCTGTGAAAGAGGTAGAAAGACCCATTTCCATGCACCTGCCTGTCACCTTCACTCTGTGCCTTTGTGGGCTAGCATAAAGCTCTGGTTCTGCAATTGAATATACTCCAGAGCTTGCCCTACCGTTGGTACATGAAATAGATGGCTATTTATTTTCCTCTTTATTGAACTCTGTAATGTGGTTTCCCCATGCTTCCTGCAGTTTTCACAAGGTAAAGTTCTGTTCCTTCCTCTTGCTTTAACCCATACTTGTTGGGTCAGAAGCCCTGGGTTAAGGCTGGGCATGATGGTGTATATCTTTATTTGCAGCACCCAAGAAGCAGAGGTAGGTGAATCTTCATGAGTTCTAGACTAACCTGGTCTACATAGTGAATTTCAGGCTATCCAGGACTATATACGGAGACCCTGTCTTAAGAACAACAAGAGGCCTGGTGGTTATGGCACACAGCTTTAACCCCAGCACTCTGGAGGCAGGGACTCTGAGTTCGAGGCCAGCCTGGTCTATAGAGCGAGACCCAGGACAGCCAGGGCTACACAGAGAAACCCTGTCTTGAAAAACCCCCCAAAAAACAAAAAAACAAAAAGATAGCTTCTGGGAAAGTGAAAATCCATTTTCTTCATTGGACAGACACTGGGTATATCATCCACACTCCAGGGCAGGCAATACAACATGGATTCCATGATTTCTTTGTGGGCTTTGTTTTGGTTTGGTATTTTTTGGCTTGCTGGTTTTTTTTATTGGTTTTGATTTTTTTATTTTTTTAGAGAGAGAGAAAGAACATGAAGTTGGATAGATAGGGGGTGGGGAGGATCTGGGAAGAGTTGCGAGAGAGGGAAAACATGTTCAAAATATATTGTCTGAAAAAA